ATATTTTATGAATTTACACATTTTAAACTCTATATTTCATTAAATTTTATTAAAATATTAATTTTAATTCCTTATTTTTACGCACCAATCTTTTTGGAAAAAGATGAACATACAGGGCCACGTGGGCCTTGTAATTATGTGGCTCTCCTATAGGTGGACGCCTGTCCGTGGTATGTAAAGTGCGGTCCCTTTTGTCAATTAATGCCAAAAAAAAATAAAAAAATTGGACTTGATAAAATTCTCGAATCGAATCGAGCGATTATTTTTAAATTAAATGTTCGAATGGATATTTGAATTGAGAATTGACGGGTTCGATTTGGTTTTGTTTCTGGACCAAGAACTGAAAAATATAATAACTAGATCTCACTAATTTTTTAATTAATTTAATTTAAATAAGTCAAATTATTTTATTTTTTTCTAAATAAAATTTTCTAACAAGTTAATTAATTCAAGCCAAAAAATATGATTTTTCTGTTTCTAATTTTCAGTTCAAAGTAAATTTAATCAAATTGACCTAAATTTTATTCAAATCCGTTACTCTACCATAGTGTCTGTTGCGTGTTGTCAGACCTGTCCTATCCACCTGGGCCCAGTGGGCCACTCATCCTGATCCACGTGGCATTCCTGCCGAGGTGGCCCACATTGCCGAGGTGGGTTACACCCGAACTGCTTCTAACCGAGGCCCAGGCCCGAGGCGTGGAAGCTTTTAGTGGTAGCTGAGGTCCTCGAATGGACGAAGCCCCGAAGTTGTTGCGCGAGCCTCAACCACAAGGAAACATCCTCCATGGTCACTTCTCCCAAGGGATCGCCTGCACAGATTTTATTCGAATAATTGATGGAATGTTTGTCATAAGTATAAAGGTCAAGTCTTGTCACTAGCATGGAGGTCCTGCACAAACAATAAATGCGCCGTAAGCTAGCAAGTCAAATCCCATGCCTATGAACATACATTTAAACTGAGGAAATGAGGCCACGTGTCACTTCATCCAAGGGCCCCCATTCCATATGTATCACTATAAATACCCCCATTGTATAATGTCAAAGGACTAATGCAAGAATCCATACAAAAGACTACATTTGCTCAACTCTCTCAGTTACTTGCAATATATAAATCGAAATTATACACTTTTACACATACATTTACGAGCACCGGTTGGTAATTATTGTACAATCGGATTACGAATAACTCGCCGGATTCCGAACGTCACCGTCCTGCGTCGTTGGGCTACTCCCACGCCCCTTTGAATCGCTTATTTTAGACCGTCCACGTGTCTTAGCGTGTTGGACATTCGCCCACGCAAGCGCGGGTGGGACCGGCATCTGTTGGCGCACTTTTTGGGGTCAACAGATTGGCGCCGTCTGTGGGAAGCTATACCATAACCACGAGCAACCTTGTGGTAAAAGCTTGCTGAAAAAATATTTAGGCAACTCCCCTTGAAAAAGGATTTGTTTTCGAAAGAGAACAGGAGGAACCTCTACCACTTGGAGAAATCTAAGTTTGATAAAGGAAAAAATGAGTTCTAACGAAGATACTCCCCCAAGGAGGGTAAGAGAAAATACGAATGTGCCTCCCCAGCTTGTTGCCCCAGCAGCTCGGCAGAGGCGCCGATTCTGATAAGCAGCAGAGGTCCTGTAACTTGAACGATGATGATGAGAACCTGCCATTCTCAAGAGAACTAAGAGATGCCCAGGTCCCGAGCCACTATGTTATGCCAAAAATACCAAAGGGTCCACCTCAACGCTTACAAAACTCACATGAGCCTGAGGGGCGCCACCCCAGCTGTGAAGTACAGAGCATTCCATTTAACCCTCAATGGAGCGGCTGAAATCTGGTATAGCAGGCTACCATCTGGGAGCATCCGAAGCTGGCCCGAGTTCAAAACTACCTTCTTGAAGAGGTTTGCAGTGAGCAAGGAAGGAGAGGCCCCCATTCAGCGTCTTCAAGACATGAGACAGGCGCATGGCGAGTCCTTGAAAAGCTTCCTATCCCGCTTCACCGACGAGATGACCTACTGTGTACAAGTCACCGACAGGGAAGCACTATCTACATTGAGAGGAGGATTGAACATGAACACCCTATTCTGGAGGGATGTGCAGAATCAAGACCCAACCACCTATGACACCCTACTAGAGATGATGAGAAGGGAGATAATCAATGAAGAGTTGATTGAGCATAGAAACAGGGCAAGCAGGGGCCTCCCACCTCCACAGAGACAGCGAGGTAGGGGGCCGACCTCTCACCTCATGGACTACCAGATGAACCGATCTGGAAATGAGAACTCTAGCCAAGCCCTGGCCACCACGGCTCTGAACGCGGTACCAACCTTGGCGTATGAGGATGTCAACCCAACCGCTGACCCACATCAGATACAGGCCCAGCAGAGACCCCGTAGAGGGAGAGGCCGAGGTCGAGGTTTTGCATCTAGAAATAGGTCAAATCTGAACCTCCCTGGATACTGTTTGCACCATAGGTCCTACGGGCACGACACCGCGGATTGCAGAGACTATGCACACCGCTCCCGGCAGGAACTCGCCAGGGAAAGACATAACTCGCCCCAGGCAAACAGGCCCCCGCCCAGGCAAGACAACTGACATGGGCGTGAGACGGCCGCTCCTCGTCAAAGGGATGTTTCCCCGAGGCGAAGAGAGCAAGACACGGAGAGGCCCAAGGAAGGGCGTAGACACCGAAGACACAGGCAAGCTCAAGATGAGGAACCTATCCACGAGATAGATACCATATTTGGAGGCCCTTATGTCGACGGTGAAACACGGAACGTCAAAAGAAACTATGCTAGGGAGGCTAAGCACCCCCCTCTGACAAGTTACGTTGTGGATAATAGCTCTCGGAGAAATCAAGCACCACCCATTGTCTTCACCCAGGAAGACACCGAAGGAGTTCATTACCCCCACTGCGATGCGCTGATGGTGAGGGCTGTCATAGCCCGAAATGGACTCAAACGAATGCTAGTCGACAACGGCAGCTCCGTCAACATCTTATTCGGGTCCGCCTTTGACAAGATGATATTGGACCACCAGTTGACGCCTACCACCACTCCATTGTACGGATTTACCGGAGATAGCATCACTCCGAGGGGAAAGATAACACTAGCAGTAGAGATGAGAGAATCTCCTCAAACTACGATGAACTTTATGGAGTTCCTCATAGTCGACAGCCGGTCGGCTTACCACGGATTCTTGGACAGACCGGCCCTAAAGGAATTGGAAGCAGTCACCTCCATCCACCACCTATGCATGAAATTCCCAACAGAAAATGGGGTGGCAACGGTGAGAGGCGACCAGAGAGGTTCACGAGAGTGCTATCTGAGCTCCATTAAGAATATGGAGCCCCGGGACGTCCATGTGATCGTGGTTGATGTGGTCATGGCGGATGTCCCAGGTGACGCTCCCACTGACCAGGAAGATGTTGATATGATTGACGCACCCCTCGGTCAGGAGGCGCTGATCGTTGATGAGATCGGCCCCCACGTAATGGAACATGAGCCTCAAGCATCCCCTGTAGAGGAACTTGAGAGCTTCTCAGCCGACCCTCGAGATCCGTCCAAGGTACTGAAAGTAGGCAGGGGCTTATCCGACATTTTGAGAGAAAAGATTAAGGATTTTCTAGGCAAGAACCTGGACGTCTTCGCCTGGAGGCATGAGGACATGGTGGGCATAGACCCCAAGGTCAGCTGTCATCACTTGAAAATTGATCCTAATTTTGCCCCGCATAGACAAAAAAGGAGAGCCCTCAACCCAGAGAGGTATGAGGCCCTGAAGGAAGAGGTTCAGAAGCTAATCCAAAATGGCTTCATCAGGGAGGCCACCTACCCGAAGTGGGTCTCCAACCCGGTCTTGGTTAAGAAACACAATGGCAAATGGCGAGTATGCATCGACTTCACCAACCTTAATAGAGCTTGCCCGAAAGATAGCTTTCCGCTTCCAAGGATTGACCAATTGGTGGACTCCACGGCTGGGCACGAGTTATTGAGCTTCATGGATGCATACTCCGGATACAACCAGATCCCCATGCACCCGATCGATGAGGAGCACACCTCTTTCATCACGGATCGAGGCCTCTATTGCTATAGAATGATGCCTTTCGAGTTGAAGAATGCCGGAGCAACTTACCAAAGACTCGTGAACAAAATGTTTAGCGACCTCATTGGCAAGACAATGGAGGTCTACGTGGATGACATGCTAGTGAAAGGCTTAGAGGCAGAAAGCCACGTAACGCACCTCAACAACACCTTCCAAATCCTGAGAAGGTACAGGATGAGGCTCAACCCCTTGAAATGTGCCTTCGGGGTGGCTTCCGGCAAGTTCTTGGGGTACATGGTTAACCAGCGAGGAATTGAAGCAAACCCCGAGAAGATTGAGGCTCTGTGCCAAATGAGGTCCCCTCAAAAGCCAAATGAGGTGCAAAGCTTAACTGGGCGAGTGGCAGCACTTAGTCGCTTCGTCTCCAAAGCAACTGACAAGTGCCTCCCATTTTTCAAAGTGCTCAAGGCTCGGAAGAAATTCAAATGGACTGAGAAATGCGAAGAGGCCTTCCAAGGATTAAAAAGGCACTTGGGGCAGGCCCCCCTCCTCTCCAAGCCGAAGCCCGGCGATATCTTGCAACTATATCTCGCGGTCTCCAATGACGCCATCAGTTCGGTTTTGATTCGAGAAGAAGAGTCCACCCAACTTCCCTCTACTACACGAGTAAAGCGCTCCTATCGCCGGAGACCCGATACCCCGATATGGAAAAGCTTGCTTTGGCCTTAATCACGGCCTCTAGGAAATTGAGACCTTACTTCCAAGCTCATACCATCCATGTGCTTACAAATTTTCCCCTGAGGCAAGTACTCCAGAAGCCCGATGCCTCGGGAAGATTGTTGAAATGGGCAGTGGAACTTAGTGAATTTGACCTTGTGTTCAAAGCAAGGGCGGCCATCAAAGGGCAAGCGTTAGCAAACTTTGTTGCTGAATTCGCCAACCTACCCGAGGTGGATGAAATCATGGAGCCCGTCGAACTCCCCACGTGGAGCCTCTTCGTAGATGGCTCGGCTGGGGATGTCGGCTCAGGTGCCGGGGTTGTCCTCATCAGCCCCGAGGGTCACAAACTCACCTCGACCGTGAGGTCCAGGTTCAAAGCTACCAACAATGTTGCAGAGTATGAAGCACTCCTTGCAGGCCTCAGACTGGCCAAGGAAATGCAAATAAAGAAGCTATTCGTCAATAGTGACTCCCAGCTGGTTGTGAGCCAAGTCAATGGTAATTTCAGCTGGTTGTGAGTCAAGTCAATGGTAATTTCTCAGCCAAAGACAGAACAATGGCCTCCTATCTGAAAATGGTGATGAGCCTCATCCCATCCTTTGAAAAGTTCGAGTTAATCCAGATTCCCCGCATCGAAAATGCTCATGCGGACGCACTCTCGAAGCTGGCTAGTAGCAAGGACTCAGAGCTACTCACTGTAGTACCTATCGAGCACCTCCTCCTGCCTTCAACCGAGGCCCCTAATGTCATGTGGGTCGGTGGAATTCCCACCTGGATGCAACCAATTATAGCATACCTGAAAGACCAGGTGCTACCCACCGACAAGAATGAGGCTTACAAGCTAAGAAGGAGGTCAGCCCATTTCCTCTTCATCGATGACATTCTCTACAAGAGAAGTTTCTCCTCCCCACTCTTACGATGTGTCGGAGGAGAAGAGGCTACATACATACTAAGAGAAGTCCACGAGGGAGTGTGCGGCAACCACTCTGGAGGCCTATCTCTGGCACAAAAAATACTGAGACAAGGATACTACTGGCCTACCCTGAAACGGAATGCCCTCGAATTTGTGCGAAAATGTGATAAGTGCCAACGATTCTCTCCCGTTCAAAGATGACTATCACAGGATTTGACTGCAGTCTCCAGCCCCTGGCCTTTCTCAAAGTGGGGTGTGGACCTCATCGGCCCTCTACCAAAGGGTAGAGGAGGCGCAAGTTTTGTAATAGTGGCCATTGATTACTTCACGAAGTGGGTCGAAGTTGAACCACTGACAAAAATCACAGAAGCAAACACCTCCAAGTTCCTATGGAAGAATATCATTTGTCGGTTCGGAATTTCCTACTCGATCGTCTAAGACATTGGCAGGCAATTCGATAACAAGAAGGTTAGAGAACTGTGTGAAGATCTTGGCATAAAGAAGCATTTCTCTACACCTCACCACCCACAAGCCAATGGCCAGGTTGAAGCCGTAAACAAGACAATCAAGCAAGTCCTGAAAAGGAGGCTTGATGTGTCCAAGGGAGCTTGGGTTGATGAGCTGCCCCAAGTACTTTGGGCAATCCGAACCACCACTAGGACCCCAACCGGGGAAACCCCTTTCCTCATGGCTTTTGGGACTGAGGCGATGAGCCCCGTGGAGGTCGGACTCCCTTCTCCACGACGTCTGCACTTTAGTGAAGTGACCAACGATGAGCTCCGGAGGCTAGACCTCGATTTCATTGAGGAGAGGAGGGACGACTCCCAGCTGAGGCTAGGCACCTACCAAAGGAAGATGACAAGGTACTTCAACTCCAAAGTCAAGAAGAGGTCTTTCCGAATCAACGACCTTGTGCTCAGGAGGGTCTTTCCATCTTCAAAAGAACCCGATTCCGGCTCCCTGGGACCGAACTGGGAAGGTCCATACAAGATCAGAGAAGAAATCCGACCTGGAACCTACTGGATTGAAGACATGGACGGCAAGGCACAACCCCGTCCATGGAACATTGAACACCTCAGAATCTTTTATCAGTGAATTGTATCATGCTGGATGACTTTCCCAGTCTTTGTAATATTTCTATGGCTCAATAAAATACGTTGATTAAATCATCCTACTACGTCGTAACCTCGGAGGAGAGGCTCGAGACCCACCACTGGGCCACCTCGCTTGAACTCCGAGGCTCTAGCACATGCCTCCCTTTTGGCCTTGCTGAACGCCAAGGGGAGAAGCCTCAACATGGCTGCACCATCCACCATGTCTGGGATGCGTCGTAACCTCGGAGGAGAGGCTCGGGACCCACCACTGGGCCATCTCGCTTGAACTCCGATGCTCTAGCACTTGCCTCCCTTTTGGCCTTGCTGAATGCCAAGGGGAGAAGCCTCAACATGGCTGTACCATGCACCATGTCTGGGATGCGTCGTACCTCGGAGGAGAGGCTCGGGACCCACCACTGGGCCACCTCGCTTGGACTCCGAGGCTCTAGCACGTGCCTCCCTTTTGGCCTTGCTGAACGTCAAGGGGAGAAGCCACAACCTTCAAATCGAGGCTCCAACAGTTCACCTCCTTAAGTTATGTTCATTTTCTTAAGTCCGAGGCTCCAACAGTTCATCTCCTTAAGTTATCTTCATTTTCTTAAGTCCGAGGCTCCAATAGTTCACCTCCTTAAGTTATGTTCATTTTCTTAAGTCCGAGGCCCATGCGGGACTGATTAAAGTCAGGGTACCAAGTTAAAGTTATTTAGTTCGTGCTCTTACCAACTTCCAGTTCGTTTGTTTAAACGAGGCACAAAAACTTGGATAAAGAACAACAATGAATGAAGAAAAACATTATATTAATATTCAAAAGGGATTACAACGGAGGGCCTCTGGCCATTACACAAAGTACTGAAAAGGAAAACCTAATCTAAGCCTGGCTAGATGAAGGAGGCGCCTCAGCACTTGGGGGTTCAGCAACCTGGGCATCAGTAGTTGTTTCCTCTGCCTCAGCATTTGGGGCTTCGGCATCAGCTGCTTCGTCACCCTGCACCTCCTCAGCTGGGGTCTGAGGAACCTCATCCACATATTCGGACCTAAGTTGTGTCAGGTCCAAGTTGGGATAAAGCTCCTCTGCCCTCTCCAGCACTTCGGCATAGGCGAAGTTCCTCCAGTACGCGCTGAAGCTTTTATACTCCTCTGTAGTGTGGAAATTGGCGATGTATGCCTTCACCGTCTCTTCCGCTGCAGTCCGGGCCTCTTCTCTGGCAACTGAGGCGTCGTTCATATACCACTTCGCTTGGCCTTCGAGAAACTGATTGGCATCACGAGCGCCGGCCAAGGCGAGATTCACCTGCTCCAGAGCCTCAGCAGTCACCTTTTGGTGCTCATTGGAGACCTCCACCTTCTTTGTCAGGGAGGCCACCTCGCACTGTGACTCATATACTTCCCTCTTTAGGGCCTCAATTTGGGTCAGGGCAGACTCGAGCTTCGCCGCTTCTTCAACCCTCTGTGCTTTGGCTTCTTCGGCCTCGGCCTTAGCAGTTTTGACCTCCTCAGCAAGTGAAGTAGCCTTCCCCTCCGAGGCGTGAGTCCTTGTTTGGAATTCACTTAATGCCTCCCTGCATTCTAGCGCGAGGCCAAAGGTCCCAGCGCTTTGGCTCACCAGTGCCCTCGTGAGATCGGTGACATCACAAGACGAGGCATGAAGCTGCCACCTCTCCGTCCAGAACTTGTAAAAGCTCTCGGTGGCACCTCTGATCTCCTCAGGGAGAGCCTCCACCAAGGCTGGGGCCAGCTCATCCTCCCTCCCAGCTAGGAAGTTTGGAGACTTTCCCTTCTCCCTAACTGGCTTTTCCTTCGTCGCCTCCTCTTCGGCGGCTTCAGCAGCTCGCCTTGCAGCCTTTTCTCTGGCCTCTTCAGCCTCCACCTCTCTTACCATCTCCATTTTGATGGCCTTAGAGGCTGCAGCGAGAAGCTTCGGCTCTCCAGTTTGTTCTGCCCTATGGGACACTGAAGTCCCAAACTTGCCAGCTGAGCTGGAGATGTGCACCAGCTTCCTCTTCTTAGTCTCCTCAGAGACTTTCTCCTTGCCCCGAGGCTCCTTGGGCTTCTCTGGCCTCTGAGTAGATGCCTCCTTCGAAGCCCTGGGAGTGTAGTCCTTGGACAGGAGCTCGACCCTGCCTCGGACCTCCTTTGCCCCACTAGACCCAGGTTTCAGAGGCCTCGCCTTCGCAGTAGAAGTGGCCTTCAAGATGGAGGCCATATCCGGAGCTGGGTACTCCCTCTTCTTGAATTTGTTTGCAGCACATGTCAGATTAGCATCAGCATAAGAAACAGTAAGGATACAAAACATCAAGTGTTGGGGCCCCATACCTCTAGATGCCATCAGCTCGAAGTCCAAGAAGTATCTGCTTCTGTCAATCAGGTGATCGAAGTGCCGAAGCTTCAACGGCCTCTTGTAAATGTCCTCTATCACCTCGAATTCCTCCCTGCTAAGCTCGAACCTCGTACTACTATCTGCAAAGACGAACCTCCAACAGTTAGACGAATAACTATTCTGATTTCAAAACACAAGCAGAGGTCGGGAGACTCACGAGCTTCGTAGTACTGGGTCGGCACTGTGCATGACAGGGCTTTGTCACCCTCCACTGCCTGCCATTTACCTCGCACCCAGAACCAGGACTCCTTCCACCCCTTGATAGAGGAAGGTAGTCCCACCACAAAGGGTGCGTGAGCCCCCCAAGGCGTGAGGTAGTACTACCCCCTGGACTCCTTCCCAATCACCCGAGGCTGGAACAGGGTCATGAAGACATGAAGAGGCATGTCCTCCCCAAGAGACACTTCCTTCCACAGGAAGTACGAGCCGACCAGCTGGCTCCACCCATTCGGCAGAACCTGGGTCGACGACAGCATGAATTTCCTAAGCACCGCCATAAAGAAGGGGTGCAAAGGAAGACGCATACCTGCTTTGAATAGGTATTCACTCACGGCTACGCAGTCGGGCCTCGGATAGCAGGCCCGCTCGTTCGGTTCGGGGACTAACATCTCTATGTTATGAGGCACACTGTACCTCTCCCTAAGTTCCCCCAACCTCTTCCCCGTCATGTTTGAGGGCACTCTAGAAGCCCCCCACTCCTGGGTATAATCCACGTCCTCCTCGGCCATGGCATACCTATCGACCTCGGACATCCCCCCATGACCTACCCCATGGTCTAAAGACGCTACTGTGACAAGCTCCCTACCCGACGTGGACTCCATTTTTTGAGGACAAAGAATAACAACGGTTTTTATGCGAAACAATACCTAAAAGAGTTCAACACAAACGGAGACCGGTCGGAATCTAATCGCAGACAACCTCGACGCCGGAAAATGGGAAATTTGAGAGGATTTGAGAGTGAAAAGTCTTCAAAATTTCTGGAAAGTGGGATTCTCTCGCCTTTTATAAGGTCCAAGACGAACCCCACCCGTCAGATCAAATCTCAGTCAATCCGAGCCCCCCGTTTCAGATCCAATCCGAGGCGTTGAATTCAAACAGTTTTTGAAATCCTACGCCTCCTATCTAAGCGTACCTCACACGCACCTCCAAAGCGCGTCTGCTTCTAGAAACGCCAGCTGCCCTCATAATTGCATTTTTAATCCGTCGGCGCCAGCACCTTGGAAGTCATAACGGTTCAGCTACCTTTCCTCGAAAACAAGCATAAAACATCAAATCATTGGCACAGAGACCAAAGCATAATCATTACCATTGGACCTCGGCTTCTTCACACCCATTCAGCATTCAAGCCTCGCAGGTTCGGTTCCCAACCACCTCGGCTTCTTCACATCCATTTAGTATTCAAGCCTCGCAGGTTCGGTTTCCCAGCCACCTCGGCTTCTTCAAAGGCATTCAGCATTCAAGCCTCGCAGGTTCGGGTTTCCAGCCACCTCGGCTTCTTCAGAGGCATTCAGCATTGAAGCCTCGCAGGTTCGATTTCCCAACCACCTCGGCTTCTTTAGAGGCATTCAGCATTCAAGCCTCGCAGGTTCGATTTTTCAACCACCTCGGCTTCTTCACACCCACCTACAGCAAGACTTCTCGAAGTCCAATCATGATATAAATATCTATACTTGGACTTGGGGGACTATTGTTGCGTGTTGTCACACCTGTCCTATCCACCTGGGCCCAGTGGGCCACTCATCCTGATCCACGTGGCATTCCTGTCGAGGTGGCCCACATTGCCGAGGTGGGTTACACCCGAACTGCTTCTAACCGAGGCCCAGGCCGGAGGCGTGG